AACCTCCAACTCCTGGGCTCAAGCGAGTCTCCTGCCTCAGCCTCCCAAGTAGCTGGGACTACAGGCGCCTGCCACAACGCCTGGCCATTTTTTTGTTTGCAGCCATCATTGTTGTTTGGCGGGCCCAGGCTGGGGATTCAAACCCGCCTTAGCTGCTTGAGCCACAGGCGCCGAGCCCCTCCTCGAGTTCTAAGAGGAACTTTTAAGCAGAATTTTAAGAGTTCTTTCCTTTCTGGGACACTGCCCTCCAGATATCAGCATTTGGATCTGTCTCTTCTGTTCAGTAAGAATGATGCTTTCTGTGTGGGCTTCTTTGCTCTATGCTCCTTTAGAAAATGCTTTCAGGAAGAAAAATGATATAAATTTAACATTCACTTCTTGTGCCTGCACTGTTTTAAGGGCTGTGGCCTTCACTGGTTGCTGTGCAGTATCAAAATAATTCTTTTACACATTCTGTTTAACCTTTGTGGTAATCTGTAGTGGGATGGTAAGTTGGGTATTAGCCATTCTATCACAACCAAAAGGGAAATTTAAAGTGAAAATTTAAAAAGGATTTAAAGTGAAATTACTAAGTGTAGCTGTATTTTCTTCCCTCTAGGCATGGTTGCAGGTGTGGAGTAGTGCAGAGATTTTGCTAAGAAATGGTGATGAAATGAGAGAAGGGGAAAGGGCAAATGTAAATGCAAGGGAATAATTATGCTGCTTGAGCACGGAATTTAAGGAATGGAGTGTTTTCATCAAGGAGACAAGTGTCAGAATCAATGGATTAAAGATCCTGGTAGTGCCAAGAAACTGCTAGGGTTGGGGTAGACAGTTAGCTGGGGAGCTGTGAGGGGTGGTCAGGGAGCAGACGCGTGACCCTGAGATTATGAGAGGCCTACAGTGACCGGTAATGTTAAGGGGAAGACTGGGAAAGGCAAAGCGGAGGACAAGGCCACAGAGGAGCAGAGTTCAGACAGGAGACCAGGGTGCTGGAAAAAGCATGGCTATGTCTATTAAGATGACCATGAATTAAGACAGGAATAGAATCTTATTAAAGAGGGCAATGGTGACTCATTGTTTAGTACAAAGAACGTAAGTAGTGAGTAAAAAACAAGAGAAAGTCCATGATTAACTTTGATTAATTTTGATGGCATCAGAGGGGAGGAACCTGCTAGATAATATAGAAAACCCTAAAATTAGCATAACAGTTTTTCCTGATATTAAATTTTATATTTTCATTATCTTAAACTATTAGGATACTTCAGTAGAAAAGTGTGAAAAGTAACAGAGTAAAAGAATATTTAATTGTAGCTGAATTTTAAGTGAGCTAAAATATGCCCTTTCTCCCAGAAGCTATATAATCTCTCACTGTTATGAAGAAAACATTTTTATTTTTCCTCTTTAATTAATGACAGATATAATTCTTAAAGTAATGATGTATAAATACACTTTGTGAGAAAAAATAAAATAAGAAAAAGATCTCAAAATAGTCTATTGAGTAAAACAGGGCAAACTGCACACTAATTTAAGTTACACATGAACTTTATGGACACCCTGTGTATCTTCAGAAAAATACACCAGTAACACCACTAGAAATTACTTGCAGAGGAGAGATGACCCAGGACTACTTTGATGGGGGGAGCAGCAGGAATGAACGAGAATATTCAAGCCATGCTTATTATCTGAGAGAACAGTACAGATAAAATACCCTGTAGGAAAAGGTCCCATGGGAGAAAGCTGAGGTGAATATAGGGCCCACCTCACATGCTCACCCTATCAACAACTGTGGCTCTCACTGGCTGCTGTCTGCCCAATGCTAAAGTAAAGAGAAGGGGTAGAGAAGACATAAAGGCCTTTTACCCCCCCCTTACATGTCCGCTCCTAATAAGCTCCTGATAGAGTCACTGATGGGATCACCAAGAGCTAGTGAAATGCAAGCTTACCTGGATATGGCACTCTGCCCTTTGTTACCAGTTCTGTTTGTAGAATTCCAAATGACCATACATCAGACTTTATTGTAAATCGACCATACAGGGCAGCCTCAGGAGCTGTCCATTTGATTGGAAATTTTGCACCTACAGCAACATTGACAATATCAAGTTAGTTATTTAAAAAAATCTACATAGCACAAGCAGAATTAATATTTTGTCAATATCCATACTGTACGCGTCATCAGTCAAATTCTGTGTCAAATTCTTAACACAGAAAAAAATTTGTTAGTTTCTGAGAAGGAAATTAACAAATATTCAATATTCAATATTTCAAATAGGAAGGTCCCTTGAGCCCAGGAGTTTGAGAATTTTTTGAGACAGAGTCTCACTATGTCACCCTTGGTAGAGTGCCGTGACATCACAGCTCACAGCAACCTCCAACTCTTGGGCTTAAGTGATTCTCTTGCTTCAGCCTCCCAGTAGCTGGGACTACAGGCACCCATCACAACGCTCAGCTACTTTTTGGTTGCAGTTGTCATTGTTGATTATTGTTTAGCAGGCCTGGGCTGGGCTCAAACCCTTGGTGTATGTGGCTAGTGCCCTACTCATTGAGTTACAGGCACCGAGCCAGAATCTGTAACTTTTAAGAGTAATCCACCACCATCTAATAGCTATATATAACTATTGGTGGATGTAGGTATATTCTACTGGGGTCTGACATCTGCTGGCTTTTGACCATAAGCTTATCTATTTTATGACATCTTTCAGGAAAGTTTTATTGTACAATCATTTTTAAAAGCCCATGATAATTTACTCTAATTATTTGGTGTATGCCTTTTATGTATAAGGCATTATGGTAATCTTAAATGGCACGTAGGCACAGGATTTGTGAAGTTTATACACTTACACTGGAAATAAGATTATATGTGTCTTACATACAGGTATGTGTCTACAAAAAATAGAAAAATTAGCTGGGTGTGGTGGCATACAAAGGTAGTCCCAGCTACTAGGGAAGCTGAAATAGGAAGGTGCCTTGAGCCCAGGAGTTTGAGGTTGCAATGAGCTATAATGGCACCTAAATTAAGGATTAAAGAATGATTTGGGGGTTTTTATGGATAAAGATTAAGAAAGAATAGAAAGATAACCCAGCTGGAAGTAATCTCACAAAGGTATGGTGGGTGGGGAAAAAAGCACTGTGTCTAAAGCAGGGTTTCTCCACCTTGGCACCACTGACATTTTGGACCTGATCGTTCTTTGTTGTACGGTGTCCAGCCTGTATGCTCCCGCACTGTAGGACGATTAGTGGTACTCCTGACCTGGATGCCAGCAGTAGCCCCTAAACTGTGACCACTCCAAATGGCTGACATTGCAGATGTCCCCTTGGGAAGGGTGGCATATAGGGTAACATCACCCGTAATTAAGAATCTCTGGTCTAAGACAACAGTTCAATAGTGCATAAAGTTTGTTATGAGAGAAATTAAAAAACGTTTGTTGGATTCCAAAGTAAGTGTACAGAGGCTCTAACTTCCTATGTTTATAATGCCAAGAATACTAGTCTAGTCTTTCTTGGAGGAAATAAGCCAAGTTGCATTTAAGAAGGCTGAGTAAGAAAAACATAGAGGTTACATGCACTTTTCTTTTCTCTCTAAAGACAGGGTCTTGCTCTGTTGCCCAGGTTGGAATGCAGTGGCATAATCACAGCTCACTGTAACCTTCAACTCCTGGCTCAAGTGATCCTCCTGCCTCAGCCTCTCGAATAGCTCAGATTACAGGTGAGCACCACCATACCCAGCTTACACACACACACAGTTCATAAAGTTCATGTGCAATTACTATGTTAAACCATTTCAAATTGCACATGAACTTTATGTCCACCCTATATAAATATATTTGGTAGAAGTAAGGTCATTTTGATAGATACAAGGTTATTTTGCCCAAACTGGTCTTGAACTTTTTGCCCAGACTCCCAAAATACAGGGATTACAGGAATGAACCACCATGCTGGGCTACAGCATTTATGCAGAAATAATTTTACCTTGTCTTGCTGTGTATTCATTGTCTTCGATTAATCTTGCTAACCCAAAATCTGCTATTTTGCATACAAGATTTTCTCCTACAAGAATATTAGCAGCCCGAAGATCTCGGTGAATATAGTTCATTCTTTCAATATATGCCATACCATCAGCAATCTTAGGAAAAGAAACACAAGACATATGATATGAAGGAAAAAGGAGAGAAAACAATTTTGGCTAATGTTAAATCAGATCACTTAGAACCATATATCTCAAAAGGAGATGACTGTAACAAGACATAGTTTAGGAAGTAATGGGAAAAATAAAAAATAAAAGCAAGCTAAATCTAGATTTCAAAAATCTGGCACTACTCTTAAGGTAAAGATTTTTAACCCCATGGGTATATCTAGTCACTATTAGCAGCATAACATCCTAAAGTCTTCTTGTGTCAGTGGTTAGAAGAAAAGATAAATTACAGGGTTATTAGTGCCTCTGGACATAAACCCATCAAGATCTGTATCAAACACAAGCTAAGATATCCTGGTGATAATGGTATTAACCATCAAGTAGAGGCTGGCAAACTCCAGCGACATTTGGCCTGCAGCCTGTTTCTGTATGGCCTGAGAACTTAAACTAGTTTTTACATTTCTTAAACATTGTACAAAAAGAAGATGGAAGAAAGGTATGAAAGGTTTTATGTGGCTTACCAAACCTAAAACGTTTATGTGATTCTTTTTTTTTTTTTTGAGACAGAGCCTCAAGCTGTCCCCCTGGGTAGAGTGCCATGGCATTACAGCTCACAGCAACCTCCAACTCCTGGGCTCAAGCGAGTCTCCTGCCTCCGCCTCCCAAGTAGCTGGGACCACAGGCACCCGCCACAACGCCCGGCTATTTTTTGGTTGCAGCCGTCGTTGTTTTTTGGCAGATCCGGGCTGGGGATTCGAACCTGCCACCTTAGGTGTATGTGGCTGGCACCTTAGCCGGTTGAGCTATAGGCGCCGAGCCGTTTATGTGATTCTTAAAAAAAAGGTTTGCCAAACCCTGCTACCATAGTGTCTTAGAGCCTTAAACTTGGGAATACAAACCAGGCCCTGTATCTGCCTGCCACACATATGTAGCTTCTCAATAGAAAACTCCTCTGAATTGCCAGATTCTGTGGACATTTGGATGCTCACTGAGAAGTTAGAGTTCTGGAACCAGCATGTCAACCAAAGCCAAAAAATTCTTAGAACACCTGCCACATATCTGGATAAAAACTGTGTATTTAAAACAAAAGTCAAAAGAGTTAAAAAGTCCCATTTTAAACTATATATTGCCACCTTAATTCTTATTTTGGACTACATTAAGTAAAAAATGCATCATACATTTTAGGTTACTAATATTTTCTTTGGAATAGCATCCATTCATTTTAATGTTCTTAAAATTTATCTTTTGAAAAATAAGTACATACAGAGTTTATATTTATGGAATATAAATATATTCCATATTTTCTAAAAAGCCATATGATATAGGATGGTACTGCGCTGGGCGTTAAATAGCTCGTTCTAATACTGGTTCTAGCAAGTTGTGTGAATTTTAGATACTATAATATGGTTAACATTAGGAGCTCACATTAGAGTATCTCTAATGTTCCTTCAATTTCTAAAAACTTCTAAAATTTCATTATTTCACTGTATAAACTATAATATCCCATTAGGATCATTCTTTTCATTTATACTTGAATTCAAATTGATACATGAATATATACAAGTACCTGAGCAGCCATATCGACCAGTTGTGGAAGCTTCAAATACTTTCCATCTCCTTCCTTAAGGAAATCTAATAAGCTCCCTGTAAGAGACAGCAAGATATTCATGGCATATCTTATATTAAGAATGAAACAAATACTCTTCTACCCCATATCACAAAATAAAATTTCTTAGCTTTTCATTTTTTGTTTTCTTTTTTTTTGCAGTTTTGGAATTTCTGAGTAATAATGATCTTGATTCTAGAAGAGGTCCCTAAACTGAAATTTTGAAAACTCCTCCTGATAACACATGAAAAAGGGGAAAATGCATTAACTATACCAGATGAGAGAGCATTCTTTCCTTGCTTTGATCAATATCTCAATTTTGATTCAAAAGTAGTATTAGATACTTACACATTTTGAACTCACTCTGAATCAAGACGTCAGACAACTAGGGACTATCTTGGGGTAGTTAAAACTAAGTACAGGCAGCTACATGAGTTGCCATGGAAATGCTGCCCTCACCAGCTTCTCTCAATTTTAATAGAATATATTTCTGAACACCAAAATACTATGAAACTAAAAGACTAGAAAGGGAATCAAATTGCTGCTTCTCTATTACTGGTTCAAAGCTTACTATGTACTTGAATTTAATCAAGAGAAAACATCAGACAAACCCAAATTAAGGCACATTATGTACAAAACATAAAACTAGACTGTTCTCTTAAAAAATAACAATACTATTAAGAACAATGAAAGGCTGTGAAATGGCTCCAGATTAAAGAAGAAATGGAGAAGAAATAAAAGAAAAATGACAACTAAATGCAATGCAAGACTATGGATTGGCTCAGGGAAGTGTAGCTGGTAGACTGGTCAAGACACAGGGAAATCAGATTTCAGGTGGAGGAAATCACATGAACAAAATCATGGAAACAGGGCCAACAAGATCTGGCCAGAACAGTGGGTGTATGTTAGAATACATGAGGCAGTGAGTTTGGACAGATTACAGTGGGTCAACTGCTGAGTAACGGAATACTGAGGTGAGTTTTAAAACTAGATTTTTGTTATCTTATATTCTCAATTTCCCACCTGTGAATAATCCTACCCAGTGATCTGACAATACAGAATTTTACCATGTTTTCCAGACTAAATAATTCTTGAAATCAATATTAAAAGCTAAATGGCTGAACAGACCATTAGATTCTTATCTCCATTCCTTTTTTTTTTTTTTTTTTAAATTAAAAGACGGTCTCTTTCTGTTTCCCGGGCTGGAGTGCAGTGGCATGACCAATGCCCATAAGTAACCATCCAACTCCTGGGCTCAAGGCCTCCTGACTAGCTAGGAGGTACAAGCCACCATGCCCAGCTAACTTGCTTTATATTTTTGTAGCAACAGAGTCTTATTACATTGCCAGGCTGATCTTGAACTCCTGACCTCAAGCAATCCCCCCACTATGGCCTCCCAAAGTCCTGGGATTACAGGCATGAGCCACTATGCCTGGTTTCTCCATTATATTTCTTATATTACTAGTATCTTGACTGAAAGATCCTGATTTTACCTTCTTCTTCTATTCATTCAATGTACTTTTTGACGTGGGATTATCTGGTAGCTGTTGCAGTAGAAATTCTTTCCAAAGAGTGTTTTGGGGCTTTAGATCTGTTTTGTTTTAGATACAGCCAATTAATAGGCTGTATCAATTCTTATCTTTTGGTTTCAGTCCCTTTTGAGGGAAAAAATTTTTCTTATACCAAATGTGTAGCTTGTAGTTGCCCCTGTCACCACTAGAGGGAACTACATCATTGGTCAAGATAGACTATGGGAAAGGGTGACATAATTAGTGACTTTAACTAGACTCCTGATCCACAAAAAAAAAAAAAAAAGAGTTTTAAAAAAAGTGGATCAAATCCAAAATGGGTGAAAATCAGGCCTACAAGTCTGTTTTTTGACTTACTGGTTCTAACGCATCATTGGCACAGAGACAAAGTGGGAAGAGCCAGGTGTGGTGGCTCATGCCTACAACCATGGTACTTTGGGAGGCTAAGAGGGGAAGGCTGCTGCTTGAGGCCAGGGGTTCAAGACAAGACTGAGCAACATAGTTAGACCCTACTTTTATAAAAAATAAAAATCAGCTGGGCATGGTGGCGTGCACCTGTGGCCCAGCTACTTGGGAGGCTAAGGCAGGAGGATCATTCCAGCACAGTGAGTTATGACTGAGCCACTGTACTTTAGCCTAGGTGGCAAATCAAGACCAGAGAGAGAGAGAGAGAAAGGAAAGAAAAAAAATACAGATCATCACCGTCAACCTTCTCTTCTCATTATCTTCTTGCCATAACTAACCCTGTCACTGAAGATCTTACCTTGCAGTCTGGAGTCTGGGAGAATGGAGACATTATAACTGACAGCAGTAAGGGAAAAAAGTTCCTAGAGATCCTGTGAGGATCATGTTTATATTAAAATGAGATAAAGCTAATCTATTTTTACTTTATTTCTTTGCTTTAGTACTACAAGTGTAAGTATCTTTCTATTATTTTAATTCAATTTGGGTTTTTTTGGGTTTTTTTGAGACTGAGCCTCAAACTGTTGCTCTGGGTAGAATGCCATGGCAAACAGCTCACAGCAACCTCCAACTTCTTATTTTAATTCAATCTGTATAAACACCTTTTTTTTCTATATTTCACTTTCCCAGCTATTTTATTTCCTTTAAGCAAACCTACTTTCAAAATAAATTCAGTCTGCTTAATTTTCCTTTTAAACTTAATGCTATTTTCTGGAATAACTATAACTAATTATTAATTATTCTATTAAATGTTAGATATCTTCTTTTCAAATGTCTGCATAAAAATCTTGAATTAAGCCAGGTGTGGTAGCTCATGCCTATAATCCTAGCACTTTGGGAGGCCAAGGTGGGTGGATTGCTTGAGCTTAGGAGTTCAAGACCAGACTGAGCAAGAGCAAGTCCTCATCTCTAAAAAACAGCCGGATGTTGTGGTAGGTGCCTGTAGTCCCAGCTACTTGGGAGGCTAAGGCAAGAGGGTTTGAGCCAAAGAGGTTGAGGTTGCTGTGAGCTGTAATGCCACAGCACTCTACACAGGGCAACAAAGTGAGACAGACTGTGTCAAAAAGAAGAAAAAATAAAACAAATTAGAAAATAATACAATAAAAGCCTATATGCAGAAAACAGAAATGAAGGTTTGTCTTTAAAAAAATTTATCAACGATTACCTTTTGAGGTACAAACATACACATACCTTTTGACATAAATTCAGTGACAATGTATATTGGCTCTTCAGAAACAACAGCATATAGTGGAACAAGTTTATCATGTCTTAATTTTTTCATGATTTGAGCTTCTTGAAGAAAAGCTTCTGGCATCATTGTACCTGGCTTTAGTGTTTTGATTGCTACTTTTGTTGTTCCATTCCATGTTCCTAAAAAAGACATGTTTTACTATTTTAATTTATATTTTAAGGGATTTTAGACCAAAATCCAGTGACCGGTAGTTACCTTAAATATTTAAACACTGTATCATAAATTGAGACACTTTAATGTATGGCTAAACAAAAGTTCAGGCTTCTTACCCATCCATACTTCACCAAAACATCCTTGTCCTAGTTTAACCTCTAGCCGTAAAGATTCTCGAGGAATTTCCCAAGCATCCTTTGCTAGACCTTGAGTCTGAGGTTTCACAGTTGGACACACAGTTGTTAGCTTGTGACATAATCCATCAGCATGTTCTAGATAAATGAATAGAACTATACTGTGAAAATCAATTACTTACAAAAATTAAGAAACAAATAAAGTGTATCAATTTTTTTTTTTTTTTTGAGACAGAGCCTCAAGCCGTCCCCCTGGGTAGAATGATGTGGCATCACAGCTCACAGCAACCTCCAACTCCTGG